CATGGATGCATTCCAGACCACAGAAAGAAGAAAATGGCAAAGATAGGGAAACTTCTCCCTTCAAGGACACTTTTAGACCTGATACATACCAATTCTTCTTTTTTTTAAGTATAATTGACCTACAACACTGTGTTAGTTCCAGGTGAACAACATAGTGATTCAATATTTCTATACATTAAAAAATGATCCCCAGGATAAGTCTAGTTACCATCTGTCATCATACAAAGTTATTATGGTATTATTGATTATATTCCCCAGGCTGTATATTTTATCCCCATGATTCATTTATTTTGTAACTGGAAGTTTGTACCTCTTACTCTCCCTCACCTGCTTCACTCATCCCCCACCCCTCTCCCCTCTGGCAACCACCCGTTTATTCTCTGTTTCTATGACTCTGTTTCTGTTTTGTTTTGTTTGTTCATTTGCTTTGCTTTTTTCAGATTCCACGTATAAGTGAAACCATACAGAATTTGTCGTTCCCTGTCTGACTTGTTTCACTTACCATAATACCCTCTAGGTACATCCATGTTGTCACAAATGGCAAGATTTCATTCTTTTTTATGGCTGAATAATACTCCATTGTATATATGTACCACATCTTCTTTATCCATTCACCTATTGATGGGTACTTAGGTTGCTTCCATATCCTGACTATTGTAAATAATGCTGCAATGAACATACGATGTATATATTTTTTCAGATTAGTATTTTTCTTCCTTCTGAAAAATACTTGGAAGTGGAATTGCTGGATCATATGGTAGTTTTATTTTGAGGAACCTCCATACTGTTCCCCATAGTGTAGGAGGGTTCACTTTTCTCCAAACCCTCTCCAGCATTTGTTGTCTGTAGACTTTTTTTAAAATTAATTTATTTATTTTTGGCTGCGTTGGGTCTTTATTGCTGCACGCAGGCTTTCTCTAATTGCAGCGAGTGGGAGCTACTCTTCATTGCAGTGCGCGGGCTTCTCATTGCGGTGGCTTCTCTTGTTGTGGAGCACAGGCTCTAGGCGCGCAGGCTTCAGTAGTTGTGGCACGTGGGCTCAGTAGTTGTGGCTGGCGGGCTCTAGAGAGCAGGCTCAGTAGTTGTGGCGCACGGGCTTAGTTGTTCCATGGCATGTGGGATCTTCCCGGACCAGGGCTCAGACCCGTGTCCCCTGCATTGGCAGGCGGATTCTTAATCACTGCGCCACCAGGGAAGCCCTTGTAGACTTTTTAACGAAGGCCATCCTGACCAGTGTGAGGTGGTACCTTACTGTAGTTTTGATTTGCATTTCTCTAATAATTAGTGATGTTGAGCATCTTTTCCTGTGCCTGTTAGCCCTCTGTATGTCTTCTTTAGAAAAATCTCTATTCATGTCCTCTGCCCATTTTCGAATCGAGTTGTTTGTTTTTGACGTTGTGTTGTATGAGTTCATTGTATATTTTGGATATTAACTCCTACTCAGATATATCATTTGCAAATATATTTTCCCATTCAGTAGGTGGCCTATTCATTTTGTTGGACGTGCAAAAGCTTTTTAGGTTGATGTAGTCCTATTTGTTTATTTTTGCATTTGTTTCTCTTGCCTGAGGAGACATAGCCAAAAAAAAAAAAATTGCTAAGAATGATGACAAAGAGGATACTGCCAATGTTTTCTTCTAGGAGATTTATGGTTTCAGGTCTTACATGTAAGTCTTTAATCCATTTTAGTTTATTTTTGTATATGGTGTGAGAAAGTAATCCAGGTTGATTCTTATGCATGTAGCTGTCCAGTTTTCCCCACACCATATTGAGGAGACTGTCTTTTCCTCCTTGTGTATTCTTGCCTTCTTTGTCATGGATTAACTGACCTTGTACACATGGATTTATTTCTGGGCTCTCTATCCTGTTCCATTAATCTATATTTCTGTTTTTGTGCCAATACCATACTGTTTTGATGACTGGAGCTATGTAGTATAGTTTGAAATCAGGGAGTGTCAATGCTCCAGCTTTGTTCTCTTTCTCAAGATTGTTTTGACTATTTGGGGTCTTTTATGTTTCCATACACATTTTAGGCATACTTTGTGAATGGGTATGTGAAGAATGCCATTGGTATTTTGATAGGGATTGCATAGAATCTGTAAACTGATTTGGGTGGTGTGGACATTTTAACAATATTAATCCTTCCAATCCATGAACACAGTATATCTTTCTATTTGTTTGTGTATTTATTTATGTGGTTGCTCTGGGTCTTAGCTGCAGCAGGTGGGCTCCTTAGTTGCAGCTCGCTGGCTCCTTTGTTGCGGCTCACCAGCTTCTTAGTTGCAACAGGCAGGCTCCTTAGTTGTGGCATGTGGGCTCCTTATTTGTGGCATATGAACTCTTAGTTGTGGCATGCATGTGGGATCTAGTTCTCTGACCAGGGATCGAACCCAGGCCCCCTGCATTGGGAGCCCAGAGTCTTAACCACTGTGCCACCAGGGAAGTCCCTCATCTTCAATTTTTTTCATCAGTGTCTTATAGTTTTCTGAGCATAGGTATTTTACCTTCTTAATTAGGTTTATTCCCAGCTATTTAATTCTTTTTAATGCAATTGTAAATGGGATTGTTTTACTTTCTCTTTCTGACAGTTCTTTGTTAGCGTATGGAAATGCAACAGACTTCTGTATATTAATTTTGATGTTGCAACTCTACTGAATGCATATATTAGTTCTAATAGTTTTTTGGTGGTGTCTTAAGAATTTTTTATGTGTAGCATCATGTCATCTGTAAACAGCAACAGTTTCATTTCTTCCTTTCCAATTTGGATTACTTTTAAATATTTTTCTTCTCTGATTGCTCTGGCTAGGACTTCCAATACTATGTTAAATAGAATTGGTGAGAGTGGGCATCCTTGTCTTGTTCCTGATCTTAGAGGAAACACTTTCAGTTTTTCACCATTGAGTATAATGTTAGCTGTGGGCTTATCATATATGGCCTTTATAATGTTGAAGCAGGTTGCCTCTATACCCACTTTGTTGAGAGTTTTTATCAAAAATGGATGTTGAGGACTTCCCTGGTGGCACAGTGGTTAAGAATCTGCCTGCCAATGCAGGGGACACGGGTTCAAGCCCTGGTCTGGGAAGATCCCACATGCCGCGGAGCAACTAAGCCCGTGCACCACAACTCCTGAGCCTGCACTCTAGAGCCCGCAAGCCACAACTACTGAAGCCCACGAACCACAACTACCAAAGCCCGTGTGCCTAGAGACTGTGCTCCACAACAAGAGAAGCCACTGAAATGAGAAGCCCATGCACTGCAACAAAGAGTAGCACCCGCTTGCTGCAACTAGAGAACACCCACGTGCAGCACTGAAGATCCAATGCAGCCAAAAATAATAAATAAATTAAAAATAAATTTAAAAAAAAAGGATGTTGAATTTTGTCAAAAGATTTTTCCACATCTATGGAGATGATCATATGATTTTTATTCTTCAATTTGTCGATGTGGTGTATCACATTGATTAATTTGTGGATATTAAACCATCCTTGCATCCCTGGGATAAATCCCACTTGATCATTGTGTATGATCCTTTTAATATATTGTTGGATTTGGTTTGCTAATATATTATTGAGGATAAATCTCTGCTCATCAGGGATATTGGCCTGTGAGTTCCTGTTTTTGTAGAGTCTTTGTTCCTTCATTTGGAACATATTCCTTTGTAGCCTCATTTGCCCAATTCTCCGTTTTTATTTCTGTGTATTAGGTAGGTCAGTTATGTTTCCTGATCTTGGAAAAGTGGCTTATGTTGGAGATGTCCTATGCGACCCACCCAGCAGCACACTCCCCTCTGGTCACCAGAGCTGTATGCTCTAGGGCTGCCCTCTGTGTGGGCTGCAAGGGCCCTTCTGTTGTGGCAGGGCCTGCTACTGTGGGCACACTAGTAGATGGGGCTGGCCCCTGGACCAGTTGGCTGCCAGACCTTGCCTCATGCAGAGGGTGCAGGTTCACTGGTGGGTGGGGCTGGCTGTGGGGCACAGGGGATCCCAGGTCTGCTGCCAACCTGCTGGTGGGTGGGGCTGGATGCCTACACACCTGGCTGTTCAGCCTACTGGCTGGTGGGCAGGTAAGCCCCCAGCACTAATGGGTGCACTTGGTTTAATGTTCTTGTGCTGCCATGTGGAAATTCTTAATAACTTTTTAACAAGGACCTCTGCATTTTCAGTTTGCATGGGGCCCTGCAAATTATGCAGCTGGTTCTGGTTCCAGGGACACTCAGCTGATACAATGCACAAAGACCTGGGTCGTGAGCATGGCCCTGAGGAAAAATGCTGACGGGGAGACCCAGGTGCCTTCTCTGCTCCCACAGCAGCTTCCAGCACCCAGGAGGCAAGAACACCCGCTGGACAGGGAACGTGGGACTGGGGTTCCAGCAGGCAGGCAGGAGCACGCTCCGGTGATATGGTGGGTCTACTCCCCAGCAGGCCTTGAGCTCTGGCCTAGAGCTCCGCAGGGGAAACTCCACTAGTGTCCAGTGCAGGATCCACCCCTAGGCACAGTGCTGGACCTTCGGCGGTGCCCCCATCCCATTGCTGATTGGACTAGAACAGCACCTGACCCAGACTGGACCGATCAGATTCTGACTCCTGGATTCTGCTCATTGGTCAGCACTTCTGAAGCCTGGAAGGACCAGTTCACTGCTACTGACCAAGAGAGGCAGTGTGTCCCACACATGTTCTAGAGGCCTGGCTACTTGTCACCCTCAGCCCCACTGCGACCCCCGTCTTCCAACCCAAACTCCGGGGTTGCTCCCTGAAAGGCTCCCTGAGGCCCTGCGAGGTGTGCACCACGGGAGGGCGCTGGGGCGGCAGCCCCCACCGCACGGAGGAAATGAGCAGGCTTGAAGCAGGAGCTCGCTTTATTGAGAAGGCCAGTGGTCAGGTGGAGGTGGGAGATCGGAGGGGAAGGGAGAATGCAGTCCCGGGGTCGGGGAGGGGTGGGCGCCAGCTGGCAGCATCACAAGTCCTGGGCTGACTTGTGTGAGCTCTGCTTGTCCTAGGCACCGGTCTTGTGCAGCAGGATGCCCGGGCTGAAGGCGGCCCCCGGCGGCCAGTGGCGGACCACGTGCCGGTACGACGTGGCCCGGCAGTCAAAGTAGTTAATGTTGAGCTTCCGGGCAATATGACGGCCGAGGTATTCCATTTGCTGTGCGAGCGGGTGGCGGTCAGCTGTTGCCTGAACAAGAGCTGCGCCGGAGGCGTCCCCTCCCCTAGGCCAGACCGCACCTCCAGCCCTGCTCGTCAGCCCCGGGCACCCTCTCCGCTGGCTCCCAGCTCGAGGGCCTGGGCCAGGACCCCGTTGTACGCACTCTCCACCTGCGAAATGGCCCTATCTTAAGACCCTAAACAGTGGCTGGCGTCATGTTGAACCAAGGAGGGGAAGGGAGCGTGTCTGGGACCCCTTGGCGGGCTGGGAGGGACCCACCTCGTAGCGCTCCGACAGCTGCACCAGCACCAGCGGCTCCAGCTTGTGGCCGCACAGAACCAGCTGGAAGAAGCACCTTCCGTAGGCTGGCAAGCGGCAAGGCTCTCAGCCCCAGGCCTCTGGAGAGCCGGGGGCGGGGCTCCGGGGGGCGGGGCTCCGGGGGCGGGCTCCGGGGGCGGGGCTTGGGCCAGTGGTCTGCTCCTCCCCACTCCACGTGGCTTCCCCTTCCCCCGCACGCCCTCCCCCAGCCCGCTGCCCGCCCCGTGCATCACCATCGGAGCTGAGCGCCATGCGCACGTAGACCAGGTGCACGGGGCCCTGACACACGGTGCGGCCCTGGATGGAGAAGTGGTACACGCCGCGCACGTGGTTCAGCACCAGGCGGCGCCGCGGCAGCGACGAGATCATGAGCCACAGGCCCGCGGCCACGCCGCAGGCAGGGAAGCCCCAAGTCTCCTGCCTCTGCACCTGTGGGCGCCGCGGGGACTTTCTGAGCCGCCGCGGGACCCGGGGCCGGGGCACCGAGTGGGGGTCCGGCCCCCAGGGTGGGAAGGCCGTGGGGGGCGGGCCCAGGAGCTCAGACCTCGCTCACAAGCCCGAAGCTGACGAGGAAGACGCAGACGATGAAGAGCAGCGTCCCCTTCCACAGCGTGTCCAGGTAGTACTCGAGCACGAAGACTGGGGGCGGCGCGGCAGAGGCGCGTGAGGATACCGGGCCCCTGCTCGCAGCCCGAGGTGGAAGTGCCAGGGCTTGGGCCCGGAACTGCCCGCCGGCCGCAGGGCCTCGGCCGCTGTCGGGGTCCAGCCTGCAGTTCCAGCGCCCGCGAAGGCCGCAGCCACCCCGGCCCCGCCCCGTTCAGATTCCAGTCCCCGCCCCGCGTCCCCGCTCCTCCGGGTTCTGGTCCCCTGGCAACTGAGTGTCGCCCTCACCGTTGGGCTGCTGCTGCGTGAACGGGTAGAAACTGTTGTTCTTGAGGCGCCTGGCCAGGTTGCGCTCGGTGCAGAAGAGCCCTTGGGCCCAGAGCTGGAAGGGCTTGCTGCCGGAGGTCGTAGGCAGGCCGCTGACCCGGCCCTTGGGGGCCTGGGTCGGGTACAGACCGTCAGCTGTGCGGCTCGTCTGTTGCCACTGCCCACTGCTCACAGCCACACTCGTACCTGGGAGAATAAAGCCTTCAGGGTTGCGGTCCAGGAAGGAGCAGTTCTCAGGCGAAGGCAGGGGAGCGACACCAAGTGGCGGTCTAGGCTGGGCTACGCCGGCTTCCAGAAGCTTCTGGGCTACGCCGGCTTCTAGAAGCTCTGGGCGGTGGTTCTAGAAGGGCCGCCCTGTTGGTCTTCCCTTCTCCAGGGAGTCGCCCGGCCCGGCCCTGCGGTGGGCGTGCACTTCCTCCGCTAGGCCCCACCCCACCGGAGGCCCCCTGTTCACCCTGGTTCACAGTCCTCACCTGAAGCGTGGGCTAGTGGGACAGCCCAGGCCTGAGCTGGAGAGGAATCTGTAGGCAGGGGCCCCACCGCGAGCCCCGTGGCTGAGCATGGCCTCCCCTTCTCCACTGCCGCCTCTGCCCGGGTCAGAGCCTCACATACAGACAGCTCACCTTGTGTCCCTGAGGGTGGAAAGCACAGACACACACACACACACACACAGTCCAAGATTTGAGCCCAGGAGCCTCACATACAAACACAGCTCACCTTAGTGTCCCTGAGGGTGGAAAGCACACACACACACTCACACTCAGTCCAAGATTTGAGCCCAGGATTGAGCAGGCAAGGCATGGCCACAGGCTGACTCAGGAGCCCTGGGGGGCTGCCCCCAATGCCACAACACACAGGTTCTGGACCAGCTGTAGCCCCAAGTAGTTCCCTCAGGGACAACCCCTAGCCTCTCACTGGGATCCCAAAGACCACACATGAGCTCCTAAAAATGTTTTATTGTAACAAAACGCTCACACATTCAAAAATGGGAAAGGGGTCAGGGCAGGGCTGGCTGGCTGCAGCTGCCTAGCTGGGAGCGGGCAGGCTGGTGAGCAGCTGCTGCAGGCACCACTGGACTTCCTCTGGGCCCCGGTAGACCCGCTTCAGGCCCCGGGGAAGGCAGCGGCAGGACTCCAGGTTGAGGTACAGCAGACCCGGGCAGTTGCTGATCACAGAGCTGTGGGAGCAGTGCAGGCCACGGGAGGTTGAGCCACTGGCCCCAAGAAGACCTAGGCGCAGCATGGCTGAGCCAGTCTAAGGAGTCCTCTCTACCCTTGCACCGCAGCTGGCTCTGCCACCTACAGCCATTAAGGCCCAAGCCCAGTACCCTTGGTGTCCCTAAGGCCAACCCCAAGCAGGGGCTGGGCCAGTATGGGCTCCCTTTTCAGACCCCTGGAGCTGGCAAGCCAGGCAGGATAGGGGATCAAGCCATACTGGCTCCAAGGAACCGGCAGGGGTGGGGATGCTGACCTGACTGTGCTTGCTGTGACCCGGGTGCCCCGGAGGTTGAGGGAGCACAGTGCCAGGTGCGAGCCCCCAGGGGCGCCTGAGAAGGCAGCTAAGGCCTGCTCCAGGTCCTTCTCACTGAAGCCCTGGCCACTCAAGTCCAGCTCCTGCAGAGTGTGGCACCACTTCTGAGTTAACAGAAGGCTGCCCTCCTTAGCTAGAGTCAGCCGGTCTGACATGCCATACAGGCCCAGGTGAAGCTGCTCCAGCTCTGGAGGTGAGAGGAATGGGCATGAGCTGTGGGGTGGGCAAGAATCCCCACATCCCACCTGCCCAGCCACCACCCGGGGAGTGCTGACCCTGACATGGAAGATCATGCAGGCCAGCAGGTGTGATTCGAGCACAGCCACGGAGATCCAGCAAGCGCAGGTGAGGGGAGCCGTGGAGCAGGCGGTCCAGGACCTCGTTGCTCACAAAGTTGCAGGTGGAGCTGGCAAGGCAGAGCTCCTCAAGGCTGGGGAAGCCTGGGCCAGGAGTCATCGCTCGCCCGGAAGGCTTGGGAAGCCACATCAGG